AAAACATACAACAGCGGGGATTCGCTAGTGGTCACCCACCTAACTACTAATCCGCCGGTACACTGCTTGTATATGGCTGAGCGGACGGGAAGCCTAATTTTCAGTGTCCTATGGTCGTATGTGCAAGTTCAGGTAGTTTTGCAAATTATAAACGTGCAGCGCAATAACAAAGGTGTCTGAACGGGCGTGAATCAGGCTACTTGGTACGCTCTGGCAGACTCTGGGGTGGTCGTGGTCGTTGGCATCGGTCCTATTGCTAAATGGTGGTGTGATGGTTGTTGGGCAGAAATGCGTTCTGCAAGAGGTGCTTGGTCGCTTCATGCCTTCAACATACCTAGAGCCTGGATTCCATTCATATTGCCATGAAAAGGTCCAAGGTCATCGACAAGCAACACACATCTTGTACAACACCAAAACAGTATCTGACGATACATACGTACCTTGATCGCTAGATGGCTAGCACTCCGCCTGCAGGTAGGGTAATGCAGTCAGCTTACATAGGTAGTGGCCGTTGATGACAGGAACCTGGCGATGTACGGGTCGAAACCAACATATATGGGTACATGTCTTAAGCGGAACGCGTTTTCGCAAGTCTGTATGGAAGCCGAGGTTATGGAGAGCGCGATGGCTGTTGGCACTGGTGGGGTGGACACGTTTCAACCTTCCCACGATGGACAGAAATGTACTGCGAAGATATCAACCCGCCCCAACAAGTCCGTCCAGTCTATTTTAATGTCTTACGGCAAAGCTTACGCTGAAAAGTCGCGGTTTGCAACTCTCATCGCCCACACGGCGTCTCATCTCCGCGCTTTGCCTAAATCCAAGACAGCTAGCGTCATGACATCACCGCACATGTCGCCTCCACTTTGGCTGGCGCGGCTCACATCCGCATCGTGAAAGCAGCGGTCAGTGAACTGCGCCCATGCCCATTCCACTGATTGCGCGACATTTGGCGCAATCAGGTGCCGTAAATTTCCATGCAAGGGTGATCTTGGGGCTCGGACACCGTTTGGGGCCGCGACTCGCGCATGTTACAGGTTGCGGGTGGACAGAATGCGTCATTGAGGGCGCGCAGAGGGGTGATGGGTTTATTCTCCGCGCTTTTCTTTTCTTACCCTACTCTTCCGTAATATCAGTATTTGAAAACGCGGCTGCTTTTGCTAGATCAAAGTCAAGAGTGGGAAGTTATCATCCTCGAACTTGCTCCAGAGTAAGCAATCTTCTCGGCACTTTCCACGATTCACATCCCGGAACGACGTGTGAGCGTAGTTGCTCACCACCACCACCAACGCGAAAATGAACTATGCATCATGGATCGAAGAGAAGAAACTCAAGGTAAACATATGACGAATCTACATGTAATATACAAGCTCACACAGTTGACTCAGAAAACCTTCATCGTGGCCACATTGGCGTCTACTCTCGTCGGCACATTCACGGCGTCTATGGGGCTATGGGAACGCGTCGCAGATAGGCGCGAACAGCACCGACAGAAACAACGCGACTCAAAGCAAGATGGCGAGATCAAGGAGCTGAAGCAGCAGTTCGAAGATGCACAGAAGAAAGCCGAGGGCAGACAACAGGAGATTGATCGGCTGAAGAACGGTGGGGGAGGCGGGCAGTGGGGAGGGCGCGACGATGTAGGAAACAACTTTCAGAGAGACGGCATGATGATTCAGAGGATGTATGACCAAGGCTATGGTAGAATGGGCAGCCGGTTTGCGCAAGGCGATGGTAGGTACTCTGAGTACGACAGCAAGTACAATACTGACTCTCCTCACAGCCATCGTCGAGAACCAACTGCAAGCGCAGATCATACAGCTTCAACAAACTGTCATTAACGTCTTGCAAGACGCCCTCTACAACGACCGCCAGTTGACTCGCGCCGACATGGCCAAGCTCATCGCCGCCTCGAACCAAGCCCGAGAAGGCTCCATGGTAGCCCTACAAGAAGCACAACAGCGTCTGGGAGGCTCACAAGCAGGCGGCGGCGAATTCCGTCCCGCATCGCCTGCGCGCTCCTTGGTCCCTTCGCAACGCGCACCTAGTGCGATAATGGATGTCGGGGAGCAACTCTTCTGCCGCTACGCTCTCGACTTACAGCATATGCCCGGCAAGCCCCTAGCATCTACATTTGCACCTGGAGGTAGCTGCGCATGCCCCGCGTGCGGCGTTGTTCTTGATGTCACCAGCGAAGACTTCTGGATGATCGGGAAGCGAACACCCATTACCATGTACGACAAGACGACCGGATACGAAACTGATATCATGGAGACACGCGAATTCCGTCTTGCCCAGCGCTTCGTTCTCAAATGCCATACCCCGGATGGCGAGTACGCGTGCACAATCTGTAGTAGGGGCAGAGACGTAGATGCGATCTGCCGAACGGTAGACAGCTTAGTGAAGCATGTAGGGACATACCATGATGTGGGCGAGCTAGAGGGAGAAATTGACCTACGAGAGGCCAAGGTCGAGACAACGAGAATGAGCCTTCCTGCTGCGCCACGAGCACCGAGTCCACCAAGAAGCGTGCTGAGAGAAGAGGTGATCTATCGATGAAGAAATGGCGATGACGACAGTGTCAATGCGTTTGAGGGGCTGTTTCTTGTGTCACAGCGAGGCGTTTGGATCGCGATTATACCTTTTTGGGGTGGGAGGCTTGCATGGGCGCATGTTACGATTTTTTCTTTCCATGATGTATGAGTAAACGATATAACGAGACCAACCTATTCAACCAGTAGTATACGATTCTCTGAGTTACAGTGCATTTCTTTCCCTTGTAAATCCTTTAGCGGGTGTGCATGTACGGAAGCATGTTCAGCGAAGTCCCAGGCAGATATCGAGATTAAGCAGCTGTGGTATCTGGCCTAGCACCCGGCTGACCACCATACCCAGGAATCTAAATTTCAGCCTCACACTAGGTGTTGATCACAAAGCTTGTCTAAACGTCAATTGCCACAAAAACGAGGCTCTGTGTTGGGATGAGGCCGTCTGTTCCGAGCAGGGATAGTGGTCTGTGCGTTACAGTACATGAATACGTCATTAGGGTGCTGCAGCTTGAGGTGTAAGGTGTCCACAGCTACCTAGGTACAGGCAGTGACACCACACCTATACCTCAACACCCGATTGTTGTTTCTAACTCAATTGTTTTCGAATGCATGTTGTGCTCTTACGGTCTTGTTTGCTACATCGTTATGGCCAATCTTCCGCTCTGAGCTGCGTTCAGCTGAGGCACCCTCATCTCCATCGCGCCAGTGGACCATTCCATCAAGCGCTATGTGACCATATGCTTACAACTACATAAGCTCGACCTGGTATTAGCATGCGATCAAATCGAGTTTGGACCTCGGAAATCATCCTCAGGAGGTCTTGAATACCTGGCCGATACCACTACCGGTTATGAGCCCCCTACCACAAGACCCGTGAACAGCAAACGGAGTCAAAGCGTAGAAGCTCAGCAACAGTATCTTACTTCCACAGTGTTGGTATAAGAACATCCTACTCAGAAAGCCTAATGCGTAGTTGGTCGCTACATTGATGCGCGCGCGACTACCCCTGATACTGCGATTGGGGTCCATTCGATAAGCGGCCTACCATGCGAAACATCATAATGGCACATCAAAAGGCAGAAGGGTATTGGTGCGAACGATCTTGATTAACGGCTCCCGCAGGTCTTGAACATGAAGTTCGCCGATCTCGTCGCCGCCCCCGGCCCCACACAACCGTAGGAAATTTTCTTCGTCAACCACCAAACCACACCTCAGCAAAGTGGATGAAAGGGCAATTGGTTTTCTCAGGCCTAGATGCTGCACTCCAAACATTCATACCGTGGATAATACTGTTGTATTTCGTCCGTCTTCCATCAATCAATAGCATCGCCCGGCTAGCTCAATCGGTAGAGCGTGAGACTCTTAGCTTTCACGTCCTAACAAGACTCGATTGGTTATCTCAAGGTTGTGGGTTCGACCCCCACGTCGGGCTCATTGTTTTTGTGCTTCTGTTGACCATGCCGTCGTCGTGGTTGAGGTGGTGGTTGACTTTGGAGCAAGTTTTTTTTTTACTAAGCATTCCTCCCACCCCTATACTATCCACTAGACCTTGTGCTTGAGGATAGTGTATACCCTATCATGTTTGCATCATGCTGCTATCATCATCTTTAATGTCAGTGTCTGCATGTTTGATCAGGAGATCTTCCGGAAGAATTACACACTAACTATACAACAAGTAGGACAGAGACTACAGAGCAAGGTATTGCTATTAGAGACACTACGGATAGTGACAGAGCGTTTGTACCACTCTGATATGCTGACTATGTCAAAGATCACATTGAATGTCATGATTAGTGGCCGTCGTAGGGAAGTTGACGAACATCGTTAGTGTTCCTGACAGAGCTAGGCACCCCTACAACTCCTATCATGTCCAGTCCTTGGAGATGACCTTCCTTTGGTTGAGCCCTTGTTCTTCCATTCTCCCCTTTTCGACTTTGGAGCCTTTGATGACCTCTGGTCTTCATCCATTATGATGCAGCCATATTCCGTGGTTTCAGCTCGTACATTCAGATACGGCATGCTGTTGGTGGAATGTTCATGCCTCGGATTCCGGTTTCTAAGGTTTATGCCAGCACATCACCCCTTGACTCGTCACACTGCCTTCCAAGATGACTGTAAACCTTGCTTTGCAGCCGAAACTGACACGTCAACTTCCTTCTTGACTGTGATATCCAAATCACGGCCGCTGTGATCACTATTTTGAGTTGGTGCCCGAGTTGCATAACCAGCGTCTTGCTGTGTTCCAACGATCCTCTCCTGGCTCTCATTTCCTTGCGCCGTATGGAGCACGCTAATGTTATACGGGTCCTTTGGCTTGCGGAATCCCAGACGCGACGCCTTTGATCCGTCGCCTCCACTGCCAGATAGCTCGTGGGACTCATAGCCGTGTGATGGCTTGTTCGATGGGTACGAGTTGGAGCTGTCGTAGTTGCCACTCCAGAACCGGCGGGTAAAAAGAGGACGAATGATGGTGGCTTGACCGATGATGATTGCGACAATATCTTCTCGACAAGACCAGATGGCCGCTGTTTGGCCTTGCTGAAGCTGAAATAACTGTTAGCGGGAAACTGGACCTTTTGCTCGTTAGACACTTACCGCCATGACGAAATAAACCCGCAAGATTGCTGCTATCATGATGAACATAGCGCCGGAGAACATAATCATCAATCCAATCTTGCGGCCCCACGAGATTTTGAGTGGGATGATGATGGGGATGGGGATGAGCATGATGCATACATCCGTCAACAGATTTAGCACCAATATGGTTACCAAAAATGCCGGACTCTGCGGCATGCAGTATTCTGGTAAGTTTAGTCAGTTTCAACATCGCTCTGAAGTGGTGAAGCGTTACTCACTGCCTGGGTCCGGAAGAATCTGCCATATCTTGTGAAAAGGGCGACATGCTGAGCCGAGCAAAATCCAGATAGAGATGCCGGTTACGCCGACGAACACCATGGTGGGGACGATGAACATCTTCACCCATACTACACTGACCACTCGTCTATAGAGAAACAACATGTTCAACTTCAGAGTCCAGATCAAGCCGATGTAGGTGAACCAACCAACCATGAACCACTGGCTGCCTCTTTGGCGTGCAGCCGCTTGCTCAGGGGTGAACGACAGTCGTTCTTGCATCGTGAGATGCGACGTGTCGCCGGTTCCTCCTACGATGTGAGCAGCTACCGTCATGCCTGTGTAACATGCCTGCGAATGTTAGTGCTTCTTCGCAAGTTCTCTTTGGTTGGATCATTCGACTTACCCACGCAAAGAAAATCAGGTAGTCGTCCGGATGCCAACCAGCGATACCGACCATCCTCGTGCGCGAGAAAACTCTCAGCATAATAGCGATGCTTCCAAACCCGTATAGAGTCCATGTCTCGATGAGAGCCTGTTCCAGTGGGCTCACCGCCATGATTCTGGTATGTAGGAGAACAGCGAAGCTTCGCCAATAACGAAACAAGTATATCGAAACCCAACAATCAAGAAATATTACACCACGTTACAGTGGCACATGAAAGAATAGATTGCGAGGTGTACGTGCAAATGTCCTCAAACGGATGTTCCCGAACAATGCTTTTGAACCTCTTTGCAGCTCGAAGTACACGTGCATGCCTCAGCCAAACAACGTCGCAACACAAGGACCAGTAACCAGCTTTCGGTGCCTGAAGTCTTGCAACACCGACCACTGAGCACTTTGACCACGCTCAAGGCGTTGACCCGGTGGCCCCGATCCATGTCTTCCGCGCCCCTCTCAAAAGAAATCCTGTCCCGCAATAGCCCCATCCAGTACGGTTCCCCCAGTTGCAGCCACACAGATCCTTGAATAAGAGCCGTTGCACTGCCGTAGTGCCCGGAACCACTCCCTGACTTGTTACTTGTGCAAGAACTGGCGAGGCTGCGTCAGTGACGTCGGGCCTTCTGTACGAACCTACCGCACTTCCGATATCCCTGATATACCCACATCTCCACCCACTCGAGACTTTAAGACCCTCGAATTATCCTCGGATAAATGACTCCGCGAGTATACACATCGTTCTTCACGTATAGACCAGGAAATCGATCCTAGACTTACGGTCATACTCGCGGGCCGTCATCGGATGCGTCTTGAACCCGAATGGTCTGGAGTAAATACATTCAGTAAGATCTGCCAACTTGTAACACACAGTGGGAACGTCTCCTTCAATAAACGACATGATCACAGAATGAAGCTTTGCAAGTTATCTAGCGCCCGCGTCGCCTTTCCAAAATAACACAAACGGTTTGGTTGCCCCAGCAAAAGGCCCGAACCTTCCGCCCATGCATGCGACGCTGCAGGGCTTCGAATCCTTTGCATGCATTTGTGCAATCAGGCATCCACTCTACGAGCCCAACCCCGCGCCATCAAAAGCAGGTACGGCGAGCGCATTCTGTTTGCGTTCAGGCAATCTTCACGATATCGTACGGGCTACGTTCAATGAATTCGGGGCTCAGCCAGTTTATAGTTTCGCTAGACAAACTGCCGTTAACTAACAAACGGACGAGCCGTACCGCGCTGAGTCGCGGGGGGTCTAGGTTAAAGCGGGTGGGGCTTGCTGTACTACTTTCTCTGACCATTCTGATTCGGGACTCACAACAAGGATTCATCCAGGTATCCCCCTAATCAACGATAATCAAAACGTGAATGGTAGTTTGTTCGCGCGTAGTGCGCCGTGCACCAACGTCCGACGATTGACAGCTCAAAGAGTTAAGGTACGCGAGAAGCCCTGGATTCTTAGGTCCAAGCAATCCTCTCCTCCCCACTCATACGGTGTCCTCCCTGTCTGCTTCTCTTCGGCTACGTCTGCAGTGATACTGACTGCATATCTCCTCATAATCTATCTCAACCAGTGCGTCGGGAGGCGAAATCATAACACAACATGGGTTCTATTGATGATCTCAAGAACTTGTCGTTGACCGGCAGATCTAACGGCGCCAATGGCACCAACGGTACTCAGGTAAAAGAACTCGATGCCTTGGTCGTTGGCGCAGGTTTCGGCGGCGTCTACCAACTGAAGGTTATCCGCGATGCAGGTTACAGTGTCAAACTGGTCGAGCATGGATCAGACTACGGAGGCGTGTGGTACTGGAACCGGTATCCCGGCGCACGTGTCGACAGCGCTATTCCCCACTACGAATTCTCCGATCCAGCACTGTGGAAAGACTGGACATGGAAGCAGCGCTTCCCAGGTAGCGAGGAACTCCGGGCTTACTTCAGCCACGTGGCCAAGGTATGGGACTTGAGGAAGGACACACAATTTAACACCTTCGTCTCGTCTGCGAGATGGAGTGATGACGAAGCGAAGTGGACTGTGAAGACAAAGGCTGGCGAAACGTACAGAGTGAAGTTCCTGTTGTTGAACACCGGCTTCGCGGCGAAGCGATACATCCCCGACTGGAAAGGCCTTGACTCTTTCAAAGGTTTGTACGTATTGATCTTACTGTAAGCCTCACTGACTCCGTCCAGGAACACTTCTGCACCCATCATATTGGCCTCATGAAGAGCTTAACCTTCGTGGCAAAAAGGTGGCCGTTGTCGGCACAGGGTCCACTGGCATCCAGCTGGCCCAAGAGCTGAGCGATGTTGCTGGCCATCTTACTGTCTTCCAGCGGACGCCGAACATGTCGTTACCGATGGGTCAAGTCGACTATGACCTTCCCAAACAGGCTCTTCCCAAGCCAGAATATCCCAAACTCTTTGCTGAACGCCCAGATAGCTTCTCAGGTTTCTCCTTCAACTTCCTCCCTAAGTCGACCTTTGATGATACACCAGAACAACGACTGAAGACGTATGAAGAGCTCTGGAACGAGGGCGACTTCAAGTTTTGGCTCGCAACGTACTATGATATGCTCTTCACCAAAGAAGCCAACCGAGAGGCATACAACTTCTGGCGCGACAAGACACGAGCGAAGATCAATGACACCAAGGTCGCAGATATCCTAGCGCCCATGGAGCAACCATATGCCTTTGGTTGCAAGCGTATCTCCCTGGAGAACAAGTATTTTGAAATGTACAACAAGGCCAACGTCTCACTTATCGACATTAGTGAAAAGGGCACACCGATCCAAGAGATTACCGAGAAAGGTATCAGGACCGCGGACAAGGAACATGAGTTCGACTACATCATCAGCGCGACCGGATACGACGCTATCACCGGGGGTCTGAAACAGATCGACATCTGCGGCCCGTCAGGCGAGAGCTTGAGCGAGCATTGGAAGGACGGCGCAAAGACATATCTAGGTATGTCGGTGGCGGGCTTCCCCAACATGTTCTTCACATACGGGCCGCAGGCTCCGACTGCCCTGTGCAATGGCCCCACGTGCGCTGAGCTCCAGGGCAACTGGATCTTGCAGACGATGAACCATATGAAGGAGAAGTCGCTGCGTAAAGTAGTAGCGCAGAAGGAGAGCGAGGATCAGTGGAAGGAGCTCATTTGGAAGCTTGCTAACGCGTCGCTGCTGCCCAGCGTAGATTCGGTAAGTCTTGTGATGGCGTTCGGTCGAGAAAGATGTAATGTACTGACGTAGCGACAGTGGTATATGGGTACCAACATTCCTGGAAAGGCTCGAGAGCCATTGATCTACCTCGGTGGTGTGCCAACTTACTACAAGACGATCAAGGAGACAGCAGCGAATGGGTACACTGGTTTCGATCTGTCGTGAAATATGATGATGCGTGCTTGGCGAATTCAGGAGGTGGCTGGGGATTGGGACACGTTAAGGGTCGTGCATCAGGAGCGATAGCATGAACTAACAGAGCTCTGCGCGTTTTGAGCATTGATGTTAGAGAATGAGATACAGTTATTCTTGTGACGCTACACGACGTATCGTGCGCAATGGCTGATTGTAAATTCCGATAATGACGGCGTGGCGTTGAATGCTCGTGGTCGGGGAAGGAGCGGCGCGCTGTGCGTTGATGCCGGCCGGCCGCTCGCTTCCAGGCCCCTCATTTCTTCACATAAAATGACCTCAATGAACATCAGTAGAGGTATAGGGGGACGACGCCTAGACTGTCAAATCTTCCAAATGATAGAAGCCCCGGTTTCCTTTGCTGGACGCGTAGTCGCGACCTAGTACAACGCGCTTGGACCAGAATTTCCCAGCTTCGCGATTATCGGATCGTGTGCAGGTGTCATCACGCAGATCATCCAACTTTCCGCCGACATTGCGCGTCCAACCAGCAGTCTCTACAATCACCGCACATCGATAATGTTATTGTCTTTCTGTCGACTCACTTCTACGCCAATGTCACGTATGGGCCCGCATCCAGGTGGTAACGCTTGGTCAGAGAACTTACTATCATAAACTGAAGAACATTTCTCTACGCGCAACCACTCAACTTGCAAGACGTTCGCTTCCTGGATACTCTCTTTCCAGTTCTGGACTGATTTGCGAGTTGGGTCTAAAGGTGAGGCTAAATATTCTCCCATTCATCAGAAGTCCACGAAGAGTATAAAGTGGCCGGACTAGCGATTTGTTTCATGATCGAAGCCTGAGGTGGGATCTGTAGAAGATCCTCTGGACGTAAAGCGCCCTCTCGACGAGGAGGTAACTCGAAGCTAGCATAACTTCGGATGGAAATCTCATCACCCACTTTGGCCTCTTCAATCTTCACCTCCGACTCTACATCGGAACTGTCTGTCGCAGTGCTACTTGCAGGACATTTGGACCGGAGCGAGGGAAGGGATGAACCAACTCTAGAGCAGGTGTGCTCAATCCGACGTAGCAATGGTCGGAGAAGGGGAAGATTGGCGCCCACTACCGCTAACGAGCTTTCGATCATGCTCCATGCAAAGACCGGAGTTGTAAAGTCTAGACCACAGTCAGTCAAGTTTCGCACATCAGCGTCGGTTCTGGGTCTCGCCTACAAGTTATATCATCAAAGTTGTACATGACGTTTCGGCCAACCTCGATGAAGGTGACGAAACGTGCGATTCCGGCACCGCATACCCTAGGTCCTATCAGCAGTGTTCTGATAATCATATAGCGAGAAAGCTCACACTGCACCAAGTAAGAGGATACATGCTGCCGCGGTGCGGGTCTTCCAATGCATCTGGAGTTGATAGATGACTGGGATTGGTGAGACCAAGATAGCGATATCTGTGATAAACCCGCTGATCGAAACAGCGTAGTAAAAGGGCAGCGGCTCGACACATTCGACCCGAGCGTATTCGAAAGTTGTCCAGAGCGTTCTGGGGTCTCGGCACTGGAGAAGAATCACAAAGAACAACGACACCGCCCAGGCCACAATGACGACGATGAGGATGTTGTTAACGAATAAGAAGCGCAGATACACGTAAAAGACTCGACGGTAGAAGCACAGGACGGACGTCTTGCTGAAGCCCAGAGAAACTAAGGCAAGGAGTTGCAAGGTATAGTTTGCCTACAGTTGTCAGCGGCGAACCTTTTCCATTGGTGGGAGTTTCCACCTTCTCGTATACCTCTAGTTGCTTGGTGTATACTGGACCATCAGGCCCTATTATGTTGGTTTGATGCTGCGCCATCTCCCCAAACTCTGTACCTACAGGCTTTTCAGTTACGGCAGACGTCTGATAGTATGCACACAAACCGATAACCTCAGTCACCGCCATTCCTACAATGCAGATCTGTACAGCTATCAGATGTTCCATCGTTTTTCGAGTCAACAATCTGGCTTACTTACCAAAGCGGGAATTATAAGCGCATCATCGGCTCCGACCCGGTTTCCCGATTTCGTATGCGCCCAAAATCTCAACGCCACAGAGACGAGAGCGAGGGACATTAGTGCCAGCGACAAGGCGATGAACTTAGCAGGGCTCCACGCCATGCAGATGCAATGTCATGCAAGAGCAGGTTGGCTCTCGCTTAGGTGTTAGAGAGGCACGGTCTCACAACTATGTGGCTATGGGGCACTGTAAAATAGTAGTTCTGGTTATCCAAAGGACAGAATATCCCGATAAAGCTGCATCGATGTCGTGTAACAAGTTACCACATTGCAAAGCAGCTAGAGCAGGTACCTAGGTATCTATGGTAATTTCGCCCACGCCGCACCCAAGCTGCTACGCCTCGTGCAGCCGAGGCGAAGGGATGGCTATCTCCTGTCGGGATGGTCCGCGGAGTATCCGAGATGTGTTCCGCAAGACGCCGCTTTAACGCTAACACTTCCTGAACGCTGCCAGGTGACGATTCGCAATTATGTGGACCTCTAGCAAAATACTCTATCCATATATACAGTAGTCAAAAGGCTGTCTTGAAGCCTCTGTGCTTCAAAGCACGAAACATCAATGTCGCAGTTTAACAAAGAGATTGAGGACACCGGATCGGTGTACGCGCTCTCCGATGATGAAAGTACACCATTTCGCAGGAGGACTGGCCGCCGAAAGAACATATCCATGCGATTAGTAGCTATTGTCTGCGTGCTTGCCTACCTTATTCTAGGGACCATCTACGTTGAACTACGAGTTCGCTATGGGCGTTTGGAAGCCGGAATTCGCTCAGCAAGACCTGAGCTTTTCCCCGGTATGCTTCCCAGCACTCATTGTTGTATCATATACTAAAAACACTGGGCAGCTATGGAGAAATCAGGAGCTTTTCGTCAGGATAGCCGTGTCTTTCCTCTGACGGTAGCGGGTACGCCTTTCGCAGGCTTTCCAAGCCCAGAACTCGACCAAGCCTGGCACGGGCTGCTCGAGGGTACGTACATTCTCTTGACTCTCCGAACACACACTACCAGGATCTAACAACCTTTTGAAGGGACGGTCATTAAAGTTTCGGAAGAAGACCTGGCATACTATAATGTCACATCTCTGCCGTTAGCTGATGGCTCCGGTTACGCATCGGAGATATTCATGACTCATGAACTTCATTGCTTAGTACGTATACGACTTCAGACGTTTATTGAGCAATAATCTCACTGAATTTAGAAAAAGATACGCCAGTGGGTATACAAAGAGACGTATTTCGTAGATGTGCAGGGTCTCGCTCGCAGTGAGTTGGAGCGGCACGTCAGTAAGTTCACCCCGAGCTGTCTGCCCTGGCCTAATTTGACTGATCGTCTTCAAGATCATTGCATTGAGACTTTACGCCAAAGCATCATGTGCAGAGGTGATGTTTCGTTGGGTACATACACGTACCTTTCTGGTGATGGTAACGATGTGACAGCCCGGAGCTGGGCCTCACACCAATGCGTCGACTTCGACGCATTGATGAAATGGACCAAATCTCGCGCTATTGACATCTTCGCCGAAGGGGTTTTAGTCAAATCCGAGGATGTTGGCTCTGAACACATCACGGAAAGGACGAAACCACATGAATAACGTCATATCATATGAAGTATCCAATACAACAATTCTATACTCCATCTCCTTCATCGACAAAGTTCTGTGCGAGATCATGGTTGTGCAGCGCTTCCTTCCTTGTGATTCCCCATTCATTTGACCAATCACTTAACTCCTCGAAGTTTCTGCAGGTCCTCTCAGTTTGCCACCCAGAGATACCTCGTGCAGTATAGTTCATCATCTCTAGGTTTGAGTCTGCAAGACATATGAGGGACTGTCGGAGGTACTCGAAGCAATGGCGGACATGGTGATGACTTTTGCGATGATTCTTTTCGCGAGACTCGTCTCCCATTTCTGCCAGTTTTCCGTCTACAGAAGCCCAGAACGCCTGCCGAAGCATGTTCTGGCAGACTGTCAGCTCTTGGGTAGATCCAAAAGAATAGAACGAGGGTTTACCAAGCAATGTAGCTCGTGGAAGACGGCGATACTGGCTACATCTGGTGCAAGCTCAGGGTGCTGTACGAAGCCCAACTTCTCTGGGAACAAGGACGCCCAGGCTGCATCGCTCTCTTCATTTGGACGTTGTGGAAATGTTTTGTTGAATTGCATGTAGTAATGCACGTCACCAGCGGGTACTGTATGAGCGTGAGTTATGAATTTGTATTGTAGACCATGTGAAACCAACGTATCGTGGTGGCTGTAGCAGCGTAAGAATGTTGCAACCCAAATGAATAACCAAGACCGAGCGCCGCAAGTACGCTCAAAACGATCACGGAGCCTTGAACAGTCTTTTGCAATCTGGATTTGGGTTTTGCTTCGGCTGGATGAACACCAATATCAAGTTCGGAGGAAGAGATGGGCAGGTAGCCTTCGGATTTGGCCATCTTGTTAGATTGTCAGTATCGAAACCACGCAAATGATGCATGTAGTTGCATATGAATCAATCCAGGAAATGCCTCGTAACGAATGCTATCATCTACTATCGCCTCTTGCGCAAGTTGTCCTCCTGCACGTTATCGTACATAAGAGCAGCAAGCACAAGACCGGTGCGCTGTCCGGATTGGAGGATCAGGATTCTGTAAGGGGTTTCCCGAATCGTCGGATTCGGCGACTGTTAGATGCAAACCGTTGGTCAGCACTGGAGGCGGATGCGATTGACGGCCCATGCGAGCGCCGCTGAGCCAGGAGCAGGGTTCGGCTGTTACTTTATTGGACCATTCCTAATCATGGTCGTCTAGCGCCAAAAGCCACCATTGCGGCACAGCAACCTCATCATCAGTATAGACAGGTCGTCAGCGCAGCGACTCAGCCTTCGAGTCAGAACGAAGGATCAGTCGCAGTAGCTCGTTGACGTGTACAATGTAATGTAATGCGGTACAAAGCAAATGAAGATGATTCTTATCGAATATTCATGACCATGCTTCAGCTTCAACAGATGCATGAGTATAGAAGCCCAGTACATGGCACCCCAGCCAGCACTTTCCAATCCAGAATTTGGCAAAGCATTCGAATCTCTTCACTTCGTACCACTACAACTATGCATTTCTCTACTCTTATTTTCGCCAGCCTGGCAGCTTGCGCCTTCTACGTCAGTGCTCTGCCCGTCGAACCCAAGCGCGGTGAGTTGTGATAATGATTCGGGACACTGTTCATGCTAATCTAGTAATAGATGCTGCTGCTGTCTCTGTAGCGGAGACGGCACCGGGGTTCAAGCCTGTTATCGTATGGGAACACACTACTAGCGATGACGATGACGGCATGGTGTACCAATGGCGTAGGAAGGAATGACAGTCGAAAGCAGACAGAAAGGCAGACGACAGTGATGAACTTGAAGGCAGGAATCTGACAGGGCGATTCGTCGACTATTCTGTACGCAGGACATGATTTGAATGAGACTACGACTTGCTTTGAAGCAGATGGACGTGCAAGTCGTGTTTGTTCCCATGCGTGAAGAGAATCTTAATAATGTTATGGAATAGAGTGAGAGATGACTGTATCCAAATGACCTGCAAGTCAATCGTGATGTGTGTATGGGCGATCTGACGATAGCGTGCTCCACAAGTGTCTGGGTGTGTGTTGCGTGATGTTGGTTTGAAGGAATGCGGAGCTTCGAGACGGAAAACGGAAAGTGGGGAGCACGGAGGGCAGCAATTCCGCTCTTCTATTGGCTCATCGCACTTTGCGACACGCTTTACCTGGCTCCCGACTCAGTTCCTCACTATCTAAGCGCCTTAAATAAAGTGAACAAAAACACTTATCATGTGTATGATGCTCCAGTAAAGAATGGGATCGTCTTCAATGCCGCAGCTGATGTCAAAAGGATAATAGGCACATGGGCATCCTTCGTTTCATGCAAGAGAAAGGGCAACACTAAACTACCATACCTAGTAAGGTAGTCTCATGCATGCACCATGCAGCTCTCCGTCTAAAGTCTGCCACCATGTTCATCGCGCATGCCACTCGCTGTGCCGCGGAGCCTTTTATACGCTGGGCTCCCCTCAACCATCCATTGTTCGTAGTCCCTAGGCAACATGGAACAAGAGACACTACTACCATTTCACAAAGTGTCTCCTCAAGAACAATGCGACGATTTTGATTTCGAACACGAAGCATCAACATGCGAGCCTTTTGATAAAAAGAGTGGAGGAAAAGTGAGAACACCAAGTCCCTGCACATGCATATGTCTCTGCATCGTTAGTCTACTCTTTGGCTTCGGTGGGAGCTGGTTGTTCTCGAGAAGAGTATTGGAAGACAAGACCACGACGGTTGATAACACATGCACCAAACCAGCCATACGACGCGAGTGGCGAAGTCTGAGCGAATTCGAGAGGCATGCGTATACGAATGCTGTACTTTGTCTACGAACAAAGCCTTCGAGAATCGGGATGAACCATACCCTCTGGGATGACTTTCCATACGTACACTTCCAGTCTAACGATGACAGTAAGTACAGAATGTCGAGTCAGAGTCACTCTATAACTGACACGTATCATTAGTCCACTTTGCGGCATCATTTCTCACTTGGCACCGTTACATCATCCATACATATCATCAAGCGTTGGTGACAGAGTGTGGTTATAAAGGAGAGCTTCCGTGAGTACAAATGTTTGAGCTACGTATCGTTACCAACTTTATCCAGGTACTGGGACTGGACGCTCGACTGGCAAAACCTCTCTGCTGCACCAGTCTGGGATCTCGACCATGGCTTTTCCGGCAACGGCCGCGAAAGCGCGGAACCCAGCGCCTTCTTTCCACGTTCGCATTGTATTAAAGACGGTACATTCGCTAATGTCAATGTTTCACTCGCTGGTGCTACATACGCGCCTCACTGTCTGACTCGCGACTTCGGCTCATTTAAGCATGAACCCGTTGCGAGCCTATCGCAGCACCTTCGGCCGAGCGCTATTGAGGCTCTTATGGATGAAGACGACTACTATGAATTTCTTGTCAAATTTGAAGATGGCGCGCATATCGCGATACCGAAGTTTATTATGGGGGATTTTCGATTGTTCACCTCGCCTAATGGTAGGTGCTTCCAATTCTTCTTGACCGTTTTGTTCACGTTCCTGAAAATGGAGAACAGTTTCGCTAATACATTGGTAGATCCAATATTCTTCCTCCATCATGGGCAAATTGACAGGATTTGGTGGCGGTGGCAGCAACATGATTTGCAACGGCGACAATATAGGTACACAGGCAGCTTTAAGCCCAGGTCGAAAGAGCAAGCAAGTGTCGATGATATTGTCTCGATTGGAGGTCTGGTTCCGGATATCCAAGCTTCAGAACTCTTGAATGTACGATCGGGTATATTTTGCTATACATACTAGAACAAAAGGCGACTGAATCAGTCAAGCTTACAATTAATTGATTCCTCACACCTGCATCGTTGCAGCAGCTTTCAGATCGCGGCTGCTAGCTCCAACATGCATCTTGTACTCCCCCTTCACAACCGCCCACTCTTGCGCAACGACATCCCATACACTCAGGTCCCTCCTGCGAAGCTGAAACTGCACTTTCTCGGTCTGACCAGGCTTGACCGTGACCTTCTGGAAGCCGCGCAATTGTTTGACTGGCTCGTCAGCTGCGGCAGGGAACTCGACGTACAGCTGCGCGACTTCCGCGCCGGGGACACGGCCCGTGTTGGTAACGGTGGTGCTTACAGTTGCAACGAGATCCCAGAGATCTTCACGGCCGCCAACAGCGAGTGCACCAGATGCGTAGGTCTCGGATAACTTCTCGGTGTCCGAAGTGACGGTGATGTTAGATGCGTACTCGAAAGTGGTGTAGCTCAATCCAAACCCGAATTCATAACCGACTGTCTTGTTCTGCTGATCAAAGTACTTGTAGTCGATGAAGTTGCCTTCGGTAAAGTCAATCTCGGAAGCTTCGCTGATCTCGAAATTGGAGTCGTAATCAGACTCGTTCTTGGCGAGCGTGTGCACAAGCTTGCCGGAAGGGTTGACGTCGCCAAACAATACTTCGTTGATCGCATGACCGGAAGATTGACCGAGTGGGCCACCGTATAGGATCGCGGTAACATTCTCATGGTCGTTCCACTGGGAAAGTAGGCGCGGACCGACAGTATTGACAACCACGATAGTGTTGTTGCAGTTGTCCGCCACATAGTTGACTAGATGATCTTGCTCCGCATTTGCAAGCTCACTCCTGTCACCTCCTTCACCAGCCCAAGCGTTGATGAAGACGATGCAGGCATCAGAGCCGTCTGCCATACCAAGAGTGGTTTCCTGAATCTCCGTACCAGCACCATCGCTGATTATCATACCTCCACCTGAGCTCTCAACGACTGTGTTGTTCAACCACCACTTGAGCATGAAACCATCTGATTCGGCTCGTTCGTTGAAAGCCTGGAAAGGAGTGACCAGAAACGCGTTCGAAGACATTGCACTACCACCATTCTGGGTCATGTGTCCCTCCATGGTATCGGCCACACCAGACTGAACGGTGAGAGCAGTGTTTGGTCCGACGTTGCGTGGAGCGGCATGACTGCCAAAGATGGATATGACACGCTGAGCTTTGGTAAGTGGAAGAGCACCATCAGTGTTCTTCAAAAGCACCAATGATTCTGCCGCATATTTGCGTGCCAATTCGCCATGTTTGCCACGCACATCGACACGATCTGTATAGCCTGCATGTGTCGGGTAGTTGATGTTTTGCTCTTGGCGAAAATAACCGATGAGGTTACGGATGACCATATCGTTTAGACGATCTTCGGTGAAGGTCCCATTGGCTATTCCAGCAATGAGAGTGGCATTACTCCAGTAGGACGAAGAACCGTAATCAAGCCCGGCATTTGCGGAGTCAACACCTGTTTTCTGAGCGCCTGCATCTGGGTTGACAAAGCCAGGGAAGCCCATCTCAGTTTTGAGAAGCCTTGAAAGTGTGTCCTGGTTCTCGCATCCGTAAGTGCCGTTGATACGGTTCATTGCGCACATGACAGCACCAACACCGTTCTTGACTGTATCGTAAAATGGTGCGAGGTAGGTCTCGTGGAGAGCTTTGTCGTCGACTACAACACTATAGGCTTCGGAGGAAGCTGCCGTGGAGTTGTCCGCGAGGTCCTGGCGACGTCGCATACCGGGGGGTGCGCCACCAGCGTCACCATCCGTGGAGTTGCCTCCGGGGCCACCAACGCCTCCAGCCATTCCACCTCCCATACTGTTCGAGCCTTGACGATTGGTCTCCTGCTCATTCAGTACGTAGTGCTTCGCACCAGGAATAACACCACTAGCCAACATTCCTTTGGCTAATGCGCCGCCCATAATGCCAGAGAAATAAGAGTCAGGGCCATAACTTTCACCGCCTCGTCCATCCCAGGGCGAACGTCCAAGAGGCTGTACAGTGGGAGCATAACCGACATTGACTCCCTTTCCCTTGAATTCTGCCCCCAACGCTTGACCTTGGCCCTCGAGTATGGCTTTGTCCCAGGTCATGGCCATTGCAATGCCTGCTGGCCAAGCGGTAACATAGTAGTAATTGATGGGGTTGGCGGATGAATCGAGGATCTCAAGACCGGAGAAGTTGCCAGCACTACCTCCGGTGATTATGGAGAGCTTATCGGAGGAACTGAGGGTATCAACGAATGCGGAAGCCTTATCGTAGGCGCTCTGCCAGCTACCGAGCTTGACTGGAGCACATCATCAGTAGATATTGAGGATAGTTGGAGGGGCACGTACTGGTACCAGAGCTAAGTCTAGCTTCAGTGTAGTTCGAAGAGACGGCAGCTTCAGCAGCACCGAAAAAGATAGCAGCAAGAAGCCAAAGATCGATCTTCATGGTCATGGTAAGGTGTTTTCCCGTGTTTTGAGCGATACAAGGTGTTCAAAACCAAGATTGAAGAACAGAGGGATGAGAAAAAGAGAGTATGGCAATAAGCGAATGTAAGAGACGAGCGAATGATTGGCAATGTGGTAGGAAAGGCTCAAGAACTGAGCGCCGTCTACGATCTTAAGCAACATCGTCAAATTTGCATCGCAACTGTAGGACAAGCTTCATGGCGCATTCACGCTTTCCGGCTAAAGGCTTATCAACGTGCTGACGAGTGCTGCGACAGCTTGGCTAGGTTTTCCGTGCATTGCGGAGTATCTGATACCGAAAAAGCTAGTCGACTAGGACGAGGCCTTTCCAGGTCCCATAATGGCAGGGCATCTCTAAATTGATGCCTCGATGTTGTTGGATTAGCGTTGTGGCGCCGCGTATGCATCGTTGCGAATGCTTGGCCCGTGCTCAGATGAAGACTAAGGCTAGTATCGCTCACCAATCACGGATGACATTCAACACCAGGACCTCGTCATCACTGGATGAGCAATTACGTGGTGACGGACGGGGTTCTCAGAATTCCATGCGGCATTGGCGATATGGGAGTTGCTAGTTGTTGAGCGGAAGTGCCAAGATCGCGGTGTACATTAGATACCATCTGATGTACAGTCAGGAAAACACGAGAAGCTGGGACGCGCTTGTAGAACGCCAGACATACCTTTACGCGTTTAAACATGCGTTCTCTAATGGGCAGAGACGAATGTCGGGCTTGCGTATCGCGGGCAAGAAGACACGCACGAGGGTCGCGAGCCCAGCCTCCACTCCCCATGCCAGACCTGATCTAGACGTGGCAATGTCCGCCGTAACTTACATGGCGTTGTCGTGAATCATGCCCCTAAGCGCAGTGACGCGGATTAGAGAAAATTCGCAAGTTCAGGGTCCACAGGCACAAAAGCGACCAGAAATATAGAAGAACATGTTTCGGTTGATGGTTCTAATGGTAACATATTCGAAACTAACGCTTTTGCGCATGAGGATGAAGTGAGATGTTGGTGTTCTCGCGGTCAAAGCCGATGAATGTGCGCACGTACCAACGTTGACGTCAAATCGCTTAGCTGTGCGGAACCCAAATCGAGTCCTCAGGTTTGACACACTTCCTGCAACCATATCACAGCTTTTTCTAGACTTGCTCCCGACAAACCTGCTCCTGACTCTCAGATACCTCTTTCCTATCCTTGAGCCTCACCCATCTCCCCAAGTCTTGTGATGGTCTCCTCAGCGATTCATAGCGATGACCGTCAATGAGGATGTCGTCTTGACCCTGAAGGTGTAGATACCAGTAGAGAACTCCGACGAACAAGCCGCCACCCACAATGTTTCCAAGCAGCGCAGGGGCGATGCCTTTCCCGATGTACATGCCAATGGTGATATCGGGTGAGCCATGGAAGATGGCGTTGGGTATCAGGAACATGTTGGCCACAACGTGATCTGGTACACACAGTCAGCTTATTTCTGAGCGTAGGTACAAAGGTGCAGTACTTACCGAAGCCTAATGATACGAATGCAAACGTCGGCCACCATATGCCCACCACCTTGGACACGTAGTCCCGACCGGAACACCCAAGGAAGCATGCTAGACACACCAACCAATTCGCGCCGATGCCTTTCAGGAAGATTTGGTACCACTCTGGTTCAACTTGCTTCTTGTAAGCGAAGTGCAACGACTCTTCTCGATATAACTTTCCATCGAATAGTCCACCGTCTACATCAAGTCAGCCTCGCATCTCCCAAATAACGGTTACTATCGGAGACTTACACCCAACGATGACACAACACACAAATAAACTTCCCGCAAGGTTTCCAAAGAAGGTCACAACCCAGTGTCTCAACATCCGCCATATGCTGAGTCGTCTGTGCAGTGCTGCAACAGTTGTGTACATGAAGCTGCCTGTACACAGGTCGCTTCCTGTCATCTGCACAATGACCAAGCCGTATGGAAACACGAGCGCCGCAATTGTCTTGAGGAGACCTGGTGCATTCTCCTGATACCACGGTGCCGTGTTGGTTGAAATGAGCGTTGCGCATGCGAAGGACAGTATCATGCCAGCCGAGCAGGCACTGAGAAAGCTCTTGTCGATACGCATGTACGCCTTCTTGACGCCCATGCGCGAGACGAGCTCGAAGGACTCTTGTGGAGTGTATGCATTGTTCGGTGACTGGTGCATGCTGTAAGCTTGTTGTTGAGTTGGTATCGATGAAAGAGTCGTTGGGACAGCATTAATAGGGGTTGCTGTCCCAGAGGAAGGGGTCGATTGCAGATGCATTGGCAAGAGGGTATGAGGCAGTACATGTCTTGGTGATGTTGATCTGTGGGCCATATTTGTTGTCGTGGCTGAGGTGATTCGTAAGGAGACGCACGACGAAGCTGCGCAGCAGGACCGAAGCAAAGAGATCAAAGTTTCAACACCGACGATCAAATGGAAGTCTCCATCGAATTAAATACAGTAAGTACCACAAGACTGTCCTGTTTCAACTTTCCGACATGTACCCG